CGCCGCGCGCCCAGGGCCGGCACTCCCCCCTCCCCCGCAAGCGCCGCGCGCCCGGGGCCGATGCTCCCCGCAAGCGCTACGCCATGTGCCCGGGGCCAGGCCAGCCTCGAGCACCTGGCGGGTGCATGCAAGTGCCCCCGCAGGCACCGTGTTGGGGACCACGGGTCATGAAGGAGATGGTGGGCCCGGATACCACGAGTTGTAACACCCAGTGGTCTGATGTTATAGCTGCCCATTGAGCTTGAAAAGGTCGTAATTGGTGGTGGAAAAGGTAGGTGACCTGATTTTCCGTTTCTGTGGGAAGGACTTGTTGCATGTCCTTGACCAAGAAGTCAAAGCTGCTGTTTAGAGTTTGATTGGTTGGTCGTACAGGAGCACTGGGTGTGTCTACGCTATGGACGCTGCCTCGCACGGGGTTGATCTAGGGGCCGATGTTGTTACATCTGAAAGGAATAATCGTATCTCCTCTGATAAGGATAGTATCTTCTGCGCCTAAAGAGAGGTGTGTACATTCCCAAAGTACGGAGCGTTGTGCGTGAATCTTTTCCCGAATGAAGGACCTCATCCGTTTTGTCTGCAAATAATTTTTTCCTATCAAATGGGAGGTTCTCCACTTTGAAGCTCCTAGGGGACTGCAGCAGAGGCAAGCCAAGATGACTGGCTCATTGCGATTACTATTGCTATGGTGTGAGCTGCTGTGTCTGCCACATCCAGTGAGATCTGCAAGCTTGCTCAAGCTGTTGTGAAACCCTCTTGCACGTGCGATTTTAAGAGCGGGCACTTGGATTCCAGCAGATATTGGAACAACTCCCCTCATAGTTATATTCTCTGGGGGTATGTCTACACTGCCATCCTAGTTCGAACTAGGGTGGCTAATGTAGGCATTCGAACTTGCAAATGAAGCCTGGGATTTAAATATCCCAGGCTTCATTTGCATGTTCCCGGGCGCCACCATTTTTAAATGCCCCGTAGTTCGAACTATCTGCCTGTGGCTACACGTGGCACAGATTAAGTTGTTCGAATTAGGAGCTTTAATTTGAACTACCTAGTCAGTGCTGCGTGTAACCGCAGGCAGGTAGTTCGGACTAAGGGCATTTAAAAATGGCGCCCGCCCGGAAACATGAAAATGAAGCCCGGGATATTTAAATCCCGGGCTTCATTTGCAAGTTCGAATGCCTACATTAGCCACCCTAGTTTGAACTAGGATGGCAGTGTAGACATACCTATAGTTATCAAAGTTGTGGTTAGATAAGGCAGCATAATTAGCGATGTATAGGAGAAAGGTTGCTGAAAAGTAGACCTTTCTGCCAAATACATCTAACTTTCACGTCCGGCATCACACTCTTATATTGTGGCGTTTTGGCATGCTGTTGGGCCACATCAACCACTAGCGAGATCGGCTGCGGGTGGTTGAATAGGAACTCCAGATTCTTGAAGGGGACGAAGTACTTCTTTTCCGCCCTCCTGCAAGTCAGTGCAACCAATGCTGGTGTCTGCCAGATGACCTCAGCAGCCTCCAAGATGGCCTCATCAATAGGGAGGCCGGGGAGTAAGAATAGCACGGCAACCATCTATGCAGTGAAGCATATGATCATCGCCTATAGTAACTGTCATCATGAGGATGGGACCTATGTGGTGAGTAAGGACTCCTCCGATATTACTATTACTATGATGATGAATACTATTACTATTACTACTATGATGTTTTGGACTATGGTAGCAGTAAACATGCTGTAGTGGAGACTGATATAATAGAGGCTAAGACGAAGGTCCAGGTGAAAATGTAGGAGATGGTGAAATGGGATTCCCCTGCCTTCCTGACTTGTCCAGAGCTTTTATCGGTGCCGGTGCCAGGGCATTTATTGGTGCTGGAGCCATCTGTGCCAGACTGACTTCATCCGGTGCTGGTGCTGGGGCATTTGTTGGTGCCAGCACAGTCAGTGCCAGATGTACCTCATTCGGTGCCGAGGGCTCAGGACCATGATGAGTTGGTGCCTGTTGGTTCGGTGTCACATGTGGCGCCAGCATTGGTGCCAAGGGCTCCGGTGCAGTGGGTGCCAGCAGCACCTGCGAGGCATGGGTGCCCTTGCCCGGCGCCGATGGTGGCTTCGTTGCCGAGAGTGCCTGTGTGGTGGCTGCCATTTTCTTAGTTTTCATGCCAGAAAGCGATACAGAGGACCATGGGGTAAGGCCTGAGGTTGCTGGTTTATCCCCTCTACTGACTCTGCTTGCTGGATCAGGCAGCAATGATCGAGCAGGGGACACCCTCCTCTTCTTGAGAGAGGTAGACTCGGGGGAGGAAGCCCTACACTTCTGGGCCATTTCTAGTTGGTGGCCTGACGATGGCATATCTGGCTTCAGCGCCTTATCAAAAAGTAACATTTTGAGGCTCATCTGTCTACCATGGTGAGCCCTGGCCATGAGCTTGGAGCAGTGAGTGCATTTTTGGGGAATATGTGCTTCCCCCAAACAGCATATGCACACTGAATGGCCATCTGAGGTCAGCATCACCTGTCAGCAAAGGGCACATTTCTTAAAACCTGGTGATTCAGGCATCGTGCTTATCTGTATTGAACTATTTTCTTCTTTTTTTTTTTTTTTTTTTTTTGCTTCGGCACTGCGAACAGCAGCAAGCTGCGGACAGTTCAAACAACTTCTTCTGTCTTCCTCCTTCCTTTTTTTTTTTAAAGTAAAGTAGAACAACATATATTACAGTGAACTAACTTATTTACAACTAATTATTTACAGGGTAGATGAGGTACCTCTGTGAAGAGACATGGAGGAGAGGACGGTTGGGAGGAACTGGTGGGAGCCGGGCTCCATGCAACGATCAATGTGCGTGAACAGTGCGAGATGCTGATCGTGCATACATGGCCTGGCTGACAACAGCTATTGAAAGTCTCTGATCTGCGGCGCCGGGACAAGCCCAACACCAACAGTGGAGTACCCATGGGGACCACTCTAAGAACTTGGGATTTCAGTGGATGAGAAGCTACATATGAGTCAACAATGTGTCCTTGAAGCCAAGAAAGCAAATGGCATATTAGGGTACATGAGAAGGAGCACTGCCAGCAGATCTAGAGAAGTGATTATTCCCCATTTATTCGGCACTGGTGAGGCCACATCTGGAGTATTGCATCCAGTTCTGGGCTCACCACTATTGAAAAAAATGTGGACACATTGGGGAAAATCCAGCAGAGGGAACCAAAACGATTAGGGGGTTGGAACTCTTGACTTACGAGGAGAGGCAGAGGGTTTGGGCTTATTTTGTGTACAGAAGAATGAGAGGGGAATTGATAGTAGTCTTCAACTACCTGAAGGAAGGTTCCAGAGGATGGACAGAGGCTGTTCTCAGTGGTAACAGACAGCAGAACAAGGAGCAATGGTCTCAAATTGCAATGGGGGAGGTCTAGGTTGGATATTAGGAAAAAAACATTTCCCTAGGAGGGTGGGGAAGCACTGGGAGGGGCTCCCAAGGAAGGGGGTGGAATCTCCATCCTTAGAGGTTTTTAAGTCCCGGCTTGACAAAGCCCTGGATGGGATAATTTAGTTGGGGCTGGTCCTGCTTTCAGCAGGGGGTTGGATTCAATGACTCCTGAGGTCTCTGCCAGCCCTACGATTCTAGTCTATGAGTGGGGCGGAAGCTATGACCTAGACCTTTCATGGACTTGTTTCATTGTTACTAACAATGTGTGCACAGGCTGAGACACATTGGCCCAACCATTGGGGCTTGGGAAAGATGACAAAATCAAAGTTGTGTGGACAAAGGCTCATCAGGTTTTTGCTAAAGGAAGTTTTGTCTGAAAAACCTGTTCTGGAGAAGCCAGATTTTGACAAAACACAAACTCCACAGAGCTGCACCAGTCAGTAGTTCAGTGCAGGCTGGGGGAAGAGAGTATCCTCTTGCATTCCTGAACAAAAAATTCCATTCAGGAAATGTCAATTCCTCTCTCACATAAAAGGAAGTTACATTATTATATAGGCAATAAACCAACTCAGAAACACAGACCTCTAGGGTCTCACTGACCAGTCTCCACTGCTGTGGTTACACAGAACCACAGGCACCAGCTCCAAATCACTGTGGTGAAGGACACTTCTTTATGAAAGGGAGAGAATATAGCCACAGCTGCCTGCCTGAAGCCAGGGTTCTGACCTGTAGCCTCCTGTTCAAGCAGCAGCTGATGGTCCTCCGGCACAGTCAGTACAGAAACGTGTGAGCCTGAGACCCTTTCTTGCACAGGGCAAGGCTGCCCAACACTCATTGCAGCATATTTAGCCAAACTAGGTCCTGTTAGAAACCAGCAACACTGGTCCCAACTACCTTTATGTGGTGGATGGTAGAGGTGTGGGTCCTGACACGTCTGCTCTGAAGACTGTGGAGACATACAATAGCCTTAGTTTGGCCTGGTTACCTGTGTCTCCAGAGCAAGATTACACTAGATACAATGGCAATACATTTGCATCTAAGGTAGACAAAGTAATTAAGGCAACTGGAGAAGCAAAGTGACCTGAGATGGAGGGAGGCAGCATGGTGCTGCACACAAACAGGACAGAAAGTCTTTATGTGGGGCCAGATATCAATGGGAAACATTTCAAGGGCTCAATGGCCTATAGAAGGGAGGGGGAGAGCCCTCTGCTATCCCCCACTAAGGGGGCACAGGACAGTGCCCTTGGGTTTGAAGGCAGCAGAGCTGGCTTCCAAAAAGTGGTTTTATGGAAGGATCCATGTTACTAGAATTAAGTTTCAGGTCCTAGAAAGCAGATTCTTTTATTGTGTTTGTAACCCTTTCCTCTCTTACTCCTGCCACGCGTAACTTCCACTTGAGCTCTTCATTATCCAACTCTGTGTTGGTACAAAACCATCTCATTGCTTCACATTCGAGGGCAGAGTTAACAGGATCTGCCTCTATGGAGGGGGCACCTGTAAATGGCCAGCCAGAGGGACTGGACCCAACAGAGACAAGGCTCTGGGAGTTTGGGGTGCCAGCAAAGTTTAAACTAACAGAGTCTCAAGGCAATTGCTGGCGAGGCGCTCACACAAGGAAGGGTAGGGAGCTGCCAAGTACCTGAAGCTCCAGCAAAGAGGGTTCAAAGGACTTAAGGGTCTGCATTCCTGAGGAGAGAAGCACAGCCCTTCAGCCCAAACCCCTGTTCTGAACCTGCAGCATTCTGAGCCCTGCCCAGCAGGGGTGGCTAGAGGCGGGAATGGGATGGGCTCCTTTGGCCAGAGAAGCATGAAGACCTGTAGGGGCTGCCCTGAGGGTTCTGACACAGAGCCTGGGGTGCCTGCTGCCTCCTTCTAAGCTCCCAGGCTGATGGATCCCTCGGAATGAACATCAGGCTGCTGTGTGTTGGCAGCATCCCATTGGCCCGGGATTCACCCTGAGCATCTCTGCCCAGCATAGCAATGGCTTCGATCAGAGGAAAATGACAGCTCAGTCCCCAGCAATCCCTCTGAGAACACAGGCTGCTGCTGGGCCAGTGGGGCAGAGCAAAACTGTCTGTCTGTTCCAGAGCCACAGCCACGGCCATCTCTACCTGCGCTCTGCCTCCACAGGGCCCAGGGCTCTGCACTCTGCTCTATTGAGACCAACCTGAGAAGTGAAGGGGAACAGAGGCTCTGGGGACGTTGTATCAAAAAGCTAGTGGAGTAGGAAAGGCTCCCTGGAAAGTCCAGTGAGGAGACACCAGCTGCCAGGGCTCAGCACAAGCCCTGCTGGATCTGGCTCCCAGCACCCCGAGACAGCTGGCCCTGCGCCCCATAGGTCCTGTCCAAGGCCTCCCTGCTGCAGGCGCTGTCGCACGCGTGGAGCTCGATGCCAGCGGCTTTGGGCTGAAGCGAGTGGCAGTTCGTCGCCTTCTGCCTGGCACAGCCCACGCTGCTGCTGAACGTCCAGCGGGCTCCTGGGCGGTGGGCCACGGCCAGCTGCTCACCAGGCACTTGGGCTTCAGGAGAGCTGCGAGGAGGGACAGAGTGAGAACAGGAGCCATCCGGCCCAGCCCATCAGCCCCGCGCTGGACACTGGGGTTAGGTAAGGAGCTCGGCTGCGCTCATTGTGCTCAGAGCACCGCATCCACTGGGAGGCGGGCGCAAGAAACTGACTCAGCTGGGACCAGCAGGAAGCCACACGGGGTGGAGAAGGGGAACTTCCCACAGTGGTGCCCTCTCCCAGGCTGAGCTCTGGTGGGCCCATACAGCCCGACCCAAGGCAGCCGTTGGTCAGGCTGGGCTGGGCCACGTGGATCGGGTCGTGCACTTACATGTTTTTGTCGGGACATGGCCACCTCGGGGCTCTCGGCCACAGCCCAGGGGGGTTTGGTTGTCATCGCCTTGCTGTCATTCAGGATGCGTGAGATGGTATCTAGGGCCTCGGCTAGGCCCTGCAGGTGGATGCCAGTCAGCCCATACAGGGTGGAAGCTGTGGGACAAACACTCTGTATGTATCTCACCCCGTGGCTGAGAACAGCTCCCAGCCTACCCCGCACAGCCTCTGGGACGAGTCTGCTGCTGCTGCCTGCTGACAGAAACCAGCCCTTCCCCCACCTAGCCCCTGGGATGACAGCTAGAGATGTTAACAAGTAGGTAACTGTGTAACCGCTAAAAAACTTAGAAATTACACACAGCAGGCTCTGAGGCTCCCGGCCCCACTTCTGGGGAGCCTGTAGTGGGGGGCAGCAGCCAGCTCCCCGGGAGCAGGGCGGGGAGCAGGGCTGGGAGCCAGCACGTAACCATTGTGGGGATAAGCTTTTCCTTATCCCTCAACTGTTTGAACCAGGGGTGGGCAAAGGGCCTTCCGCGGGGGGGGGTGGCGGCCCCCCA